CGATGCTATGTGAATGGACATTGCGAGGTCTTAAAAAATATCATAATTAGAAACTTTTTTAAAACCTAGTTTTACTCCTTCCTCGAGTGATTCTCTATTAATCGACTGAAAGAAAGCCTATTTTTGTTTATGGTTTCTATAAAATATATTTGAATTTGCAAGACCATCGAAAATCAGTGGGAAAAATGCATGCTAATTAAGTAGTCATTTTTTACCGAGTACGGTTTCTACAGGAGATTGAAAAGCAGTGTATTCAAAAGCTGACATCCTGCCAAGTCCGAAATTTTATAAGATTATGCCGCAAGACAATCAGTATTACAACTGCGACCAAGTAATTCTTCTTAGTCGAAAACGCATTTCAGAATTTCAGCCAACATTTCATGAGATCGGTCACTCACTGTAGCTTTAGGTAGCCCTGCCACTGGATCATGATGGAATCGAGGAGAGATGGCGTACAAGTCCTTTCCATTGCTTGCCAACTCCCATTCGCCAATTATCAAGATTCTATAGGAAGGACGACATGTAAACCATTTCATCAGCGATACGCTGACCATGGCAACAGTAAGGCCTTCTTCGTTACCCACAGGGCAGCTTAGGGCTCAACATCTATTGAAAATGTGTCCATTCTAAACTCGGATGGGACAAGCCCGCAATCGGAAGAATCGCAGGTTCTGGAATACTGAGCCTCCCTTTTTAAGTGAGTCTGCAAGCGCCAGTCTCTGGAGTGAGACTATCAACAGACTTCCCCAAGGAGAAACCAATTATGATTTTTATTGCCTGCATTCCATGCAGGAAACGTGTAGGCAGCACAGAAGACATTCAGTGACAACGCGCGGGCACCCAGTCTATTTCAACTGAAGTCTATAACTACGGTGGCTTTCAAACTTTGGGATTCTGAGGGAATATACCAACAAGGACATATGTTGCAAGACTCTGAAGACTTCATCATTGCGCATCCCTCAAAATGACAACGAATAAGGTAAGTCTGTGATCGTCACTGCCATATCCCAGTCAAACCTTTGCTCGAGTTTTCCTGAACCGTCTGACCCGACACGGAGGGCAAGAATTTCCCTCAGAAATCAAAAAATGATTCTAAAAACATAACGGAACAACTGGTGCGACCCTCCTAGCGCACCAGAAATAGGCTAAAATTCAGAGGTGTTTTGGCAGATTTTGAATAATTCATATTGGCCCAACAGTGAAGAACTCGGCGTCTCGGTGGGACTCGAACCCACGTCAGGAATGGGGCGAAGCAGAGTTGTGTGCCCGCCCCAACCCTCTTCAGCCCTTACGTTATCCACAATAGTGAGTAGCGTCTATAGTAGAAAGCAACCGGGAACTGAAATCAACTCAGTTAATCGATTTGTCGATCCGGCACCGACGCACAGAGTCCTGCGTAGTCACCTCCAGTCTTGCGCCGTCGGTCGGTGATTGGCCTACATGCCTTATAACTGTCGCTTGTTCTGCTGCTGCTGCTGCTGCTGCTGCTGCTGCTGCTGCTGCTGCTGCTGCTGCTGCTGCTGCTGCTGCTGCTGCTGCTGCTGCTGCTGCTGCTGCTGCTGCTGCTGCTGCTGCTGCTGCTGCTGCTGCTGCTGCTGCTGCTGCTGCTGCTGCTGCTGCTGCCACTATCTCTGACGATGGACTCCTGCACGAGTCCGAAGGCTCAGGACAATAAACAAAATGCTCCGGTGCTCGACCCCTCTTCTTCTTCACTCATGCATACACCCCGGAACTAGAAATTTCGCTTTAATTCGTGAAAAATTCGAACGCGATACGCTTCGGACAGCTCGCGGCGGGAAGGTATTCCCTACACGAGAGGCAGCAACATACGAACAGTTACGTTTTCTGCACCGATGTCTCCAAGATGAATTTACTCCACGATGCCTGACATACAAGGCTCTCATTAATACGGTTATGGGAAGAGACGTTGTAAGGCGGTTTGTCAAACAGATGACAAGAGTTCTGATCGACGACTGTCACCAGCGTTTGCAGAAATACAAGGCTAAGATCGAGGAGAATAGAATGCAGTGTGCCCACACTCTCGGTGATTCTATCGCCGCGGATCTTGGGAAGATGATCTCCGCTCCGGCATATCACAGGCAAGCTAAGAAGAGATAAGTTTGGATGAAAACTGACTAAGCTAAAACCGACAGGCGCGGAACGCTTAAACTCGGTCCACAACCTAGCGTCTAAGCAGCTAACAAAGCAGCAACTACGAAAGCTACTACATGAAACTTGTTTCAATACTGCGGATGCCGGTCCTGGCGACTTTATTGCAGCCTTGGAAGATATGCTTTGGAGAAGTGAAACATCCGACGACAAGAAATACTCCGTCCGCCAATGTGTTACCTTGCTGATGACACACAAACCAACTTAATGTGTTTCGCAGAGTGAGTCAAAGGCTATGAGGGAACTGAGGAGGGACGACAGAATCATCATTCTACCTGCTGACAAGGGACAACCAACCGTCGTGATGAGTCGAGAAGACTATAATGAAAAAGCTAAAGCCCTTCTTGATGACAGAGAATTTTACAGACCAACATAGAACTCACAAGTCAAAAGAGTGACAGATCGCTTGATTAAATTGCTTAGAGAATACCGACACAAAAATGTGATCGCGGAGAATGAATGGCACCAAATGAGGGTAACTGACACCGCGCTAGCTCGATTCTATTGTCTGTCAAAAAAACATAAAGCAAATGGCCACTGTGACCAATCGTTGCCCTAAAATGTAGCATAGAGGTTTAAGAGCGGGAACTTCTCGGCTAATTTTGTGGGAAGTGACTCAGTACTGCACCAGAACGCTCGATGAATGCGTGCTTAATAGCACTTTTCGCAAATTTAAAAAGAACTATAAAAAAAGTGGCTTTGGAAATAATCATTTCTTGCAGTGAGTAAAAAAGATGGAGCTTAGCAGAAGTCCCACTTTTGCCAGAGCCATGTGTTAAATAAGATTCTTGGGGGACGCAGTTCCACAGTCTCCACAGTCTCCGAGTCGGACCCTTATACACATGGTTAATACTAATGACTGCAAAGAAAAACTTGTGATATAAAAAACGGTACACTGATAGCTATAAGCAAACCTGATACAAAACCGCATAAAATAAGATGATGAAACCAGAACGTACAACGCAGCAGAGCTTATCTTCATCAGTTCCACAAAAAGCCTTCCAATTAACCGGGCAAAGGATGCCTTGCCAATGCACGCCACCCCAAATTGTGTGTATGAATTCACATGCACTTGCGGATGCAAGTACATTGGGCGAACGCAAAGGCAATTGGCAACCAGGGCCGCTGAGCATTTGCCTAATTGGCTTTTCAAACAGGAAAACAAAACCCCCGTTCGTCTATAACGAAACACCTGTTAGATAGCGGTCATGTTGTCGACCCTAAAGCATCTTTTTGAGTACTTGTCCGAGCGCATACAACTCGAACCTTGCGTTATTTGGAAGCAGCTTACATGCGGAGGGAGAAACCAGACTTGTGCAAGCAGTTAGATCACGTGATCAATCTGCAATTGCCCTGGTAATCTCACGCCTCTAGTTTCCCCTGACTGTGATTTGTCGTTAACATTTCGTCTCCCTCTTTCCTATATGATGCTTATGTGGACGTCTTATCTGATTATTCATTGCCTTGAACCTTGACCTTGCTCTTATGCACTGCCATTCTGTACAAATTCATACTGCTGTGCGCTTTCATTCGTTACCTATGTTATGCAGAGACGGGCTGCAGTTGAAAAGCCGTCACGAAATTTATTGGCTCCAATAAATTCTGCTGTATATACTTGTTTTCGAAACCAGAGTGCTTACCGAAGATGACGTTTGGCGAGATCATGTTTGCGGGTAGCTAGGTAGTACGAACCTGTCGCGAACCAAGATATCTAAATAATGTACGAGAGGATTAAAAAGGCAATCTTTTACCGCACTTTCCGGATAAATCTTAACTAGCCTGTTGGAGAGTATGAAAAGCTCTACATGATAGCCTTATGAAAAATGGCAGGTACTACCATTTGACTGATTCAGCATTCTCAGCACAGAAATATGTATCGGAAGGCAATCTGGATGAAAGGGGTCTTCCTTGAGTACACTAAAAAAAGTAATTTGGAAAATGAAGTACCGTGTAGTTAATGCGTAACACCGTCTATAGTGGTCTGAGGAAAGCAGGCGATCGGCTTGGTGTACCAATACGTCGCAATTATTTTTGAATAAAGACAGCTCAGGAGGCAGCTCAGTAATTCCGAGCTATAAAAGAAACAGTTAGGCAACCATCCTTCGTATACACCTTTGGGATTTTGTCTGCATAAAGAGCCTTGACGATGGAGGCAGTTGATGCAGGGGCGGACTGTAATTCACATTTTAAAAGCTGTTTTTCGTCTAGAAGGGTAAATGACAAGAGACCTAACCAACCTTCTACAGATACAACCTCTAACTTCGTAAGCTTCTCAAAGGCCTCATAGCAGAAGGGATCGAGGCAAAATGCCTCCTTATACCAATGAGCCGCAGCAGGAAAGTTATTAAGAGCTTCATTAATGTTGCCACGCAGCAACGCAATGCTGCTATTGAGCTAAAAAAAAGTAGGGGTAGTCAAACGAATTACCATAGAAAGCGAGACCCCAGGTGGAAGATAGTCTGATCCTGTGGCTTTTAAATGCAAGTTCTCGACGGATTTGTCGAGTTTATCAAGAACGTTGGGAGGACGTTCGGGTGGATAGAAGGTGATGAATGAATTAGATATGAATTTTTCGGATGTCTGTTGGAAGTACTCGAGGTTTTCGAGGATTTTCAAGGCCTCCATGTGCTCGTTGGATTTGTGGTAGCACTGTGCGATCAAAAACCTGGAGTATATTTCCTCCTGCAAAATATAGACGGATAAAGTACTTCGCAATACCCTAACATTCTCGCGGTTCGACAAGATGGCAATAGCTCTGTGATACTGTCCACAAAAGTACATGGCTTCCGCCAAATTAATAACATCACCTATAGCGCCTAAACTTGCAGTTTCTGAATGCAAGGTAAAATAACCTTTCGAGAGGCACACGGCCTTGTCAGCCCAATATAATGCAGAGCCGTGGCGATGCTAATCTTGATAAAAAAACATAAGACATTTGACATACGACTTTCATGCATGTTTGCACGACGTTTCTGATTGTCTCTAGATCAATGTCGACCATACTAGGCAGGAAAATGCACTCGTTTGACCATAGGTGGACGGGGGAGTCCGAAAGTCCGCAGGAAAAACAGTGAACTAGAACACGATCTCAAGTTAATGTACATGTCATTCTCCGATTCTAGAGTGGACTGATGCCGTTTCAAAACCGCCTGTAGAGAATTCGAATTCATTTAGGGAATTCCGCAGTATGCAGCAGTGAATAAAGAAGAAGGTGATGAGGTGCGACCTTGGGAAGCATCGACCTACTATTATTTACAGTGGAATGTCAACACCAACACTGAAAGATGAAGTCACAGTTAAATGCATAGGGAATTGGGAAGACCGTAGTTAAGTTATAATGCAGCACTGGTATCCAGAAAGCATGGGCGTTGCGCTCCCATGCAGCAGTGTGTACACATTTTGACGTAAGAGTGTTGACTGAGCCCGCCAGTGTCTCCCACCCAAATCCTGATTATTTACGAATGAGAAATGCCTGGAAGCGGAAGTGTTGCTTCGCTTCAAGAACAAATCTGCATTTTATCCTAAATACAGTGGAATATCTTGCACTTATCGGCAAGATTTTACAGAGAATTCTCTGAGCCACGGCATAATAGCCCCAGTATGTACAGGAGAAATATATCTGGCAGGAGTTGGTGCAAACAGATAAGCCATTTCACCCAGCATCATGCTCTTTTAAAACACTTTTTTCACAAACGAGTTACGGAGGCGCCGTCCGTAATTGATACAGTGAGAACACAGAAGTTTTGTTTGGTAGGATTTTAACCCGTTTTTGAGTAGGAAACAGTTTCAGTGTCCATTATCCGGGCGCTTGTTACAACACTGCACACGCGCGCACTGGTAGTTATCTCGTCCCCCACCAATCACAGTTGTGCAAACCGACCAATCAACTCCAAAGGGTAACTCCGAAAGGTTCTTCCTAAGATGCTCTGGTGTACTCCCGCTCTCTCTCGAAAAGACGTTTTCATGACACGGACGTTTTCTCCCGTCCGACTATCAACTTATCCCAACCGGTTCCCCAATCTTTCCGCCCAGAATACTGAATCTTTTTAAGTGGCGTCCGATACCTCTTTGTATTGGGGGCCGGCGATGGAAGTCGTAGCGGCTACGTCCTGCTTATGGCTTGATCAAGTTTTTTTAACTCAGACAGATACACTTTTTGGAATTCCAGTCCTCTGACCGCTCTCATAATCTGTCGTTAGTAAGAATTGGATTTAAGTGAGCAATATTTTCGTCTTCACAAATATACTACAGGATTTCAACAGTAACAACAAACTCTCCTCTGACCGCTCCTCTGTTAACAGCCCGATGGACTTTTTCAAGTCTACAGAGGGCTAAGTCATCCCTCTATTTGTTTCATACAGCTGGCCTGGCGAAAATACTTCGTCCGATATCACTGGATACGTTTCATATTCTTTGAATTAAAATGGGAGTCGACAAAAAGCTTTTATGTGTAGTGGCCGAGGACGTCGATGATGACACACACCGAGGTAGCGAAGCATTGGAAATAGATCCTGGCTAAGATCGATCTGAAGAGAGTCGTTAATACGTCACAGTACTCATCCATACGAAATGGAAGAAGGAACGCTAGGTAGGCGTAAAGGTATACTGGGAAGAGATGAAAACTGGAAATGCATATAAAGCAGTAACTTGTGCAAACGGGGTGAATTACAACAAGGTAGTGACCCGTTTGGATGATGTGCTGACGCTGACATGACCGATGAACAAGGGATGGGAATGGGGCGCTGTGGGCAACTGTAGTGGAGGGCCGAGGGAGGTGCCGACGTAGAGAGAACAAGGAGGAAGCGAACGTTATAACGGGTCGCTGAGAGGTCGGCGGTAGATAGAGGGAAGGACGCCGGCCATTTTCACCATCATGCCAGTAACACCATTGCCATCCTTCCCCCCCATAGCGAAAATTTTCGCGGTTTTTGATGTCATCTCCCGCATTCCGACCTCATGCGGTCTGTCGACACTCACGGCGGAACCCTCAGTCTTCACTGTTTACTAGTAGTTCGGTCGTACCTCCCTTCCTCACTGCTCGGCTGAGCTCGACGCGTGCTGTGGCCGATCGCATCTCGGTTCCTCTCATCTGGCCTCTTTGACGCGGCGTACCAATCAGGCCCAGACGATCTCAATTGTGAATCCCGTATACAATGCCATATGCAAGCCAGTCCTTTCTGACCCACATTCGTACCCATCAAGGCGGACATTTATTGATACCCTGACGATGACCGACAACATTCCGTTATATACTGCCACCTACAGGCCAGTCCTGCTCGCTTTTTTCTGTTATTATTTTTAAAGAGGGGTTTTTTTCTCCTGTAAAATTAATCCAATCATTTTTAACTTTTTCTTAGGAGTTTTTTTTTCACCCCTCAATCATCATGTTTCTCAACGGACTTCTAACTTAGAAACTGGGAATTGCATTTTGTAAAGATTCGGCCTACCTCGTCTAAAACTCGCATGCAAATTTATTTTAACTTGCTTTGATGGGACCCCGACGGGTCTTTAATAAAAATTATCTATCTATCTATCCTACGTCCGTGCGGGAAGTGTCACTCCGATCAAGCAATTCTATCCAGTTCGTGGGACGTTGCACAAGACAATGTGTTAAAAACCGCCACAAGCGGAAATTGGGCCCAGGCATAGCTGAGACATGACCAACTAGTATACCAGCAGACTATCTGCGCACGGGCTGAAATAAATGAAGGAGTAAACATTATTCGTAGTAAAGATGGCTGCGACTCTGCACATTCCGACGTCAAGTTACCTCCCGCCAAGCGGGCGAGGAGTTTAATGCGAAGACGAAGACTGTATGACATGATTCTGACTCCTTCAAAAATTCTTTGAGCACGAGAAGGTTAACGTCCTTAAAGGAAAATCGGAAGTTGTGAAATCTCCCTCACTATTTACCCAAAGAGAAGATATCGCTGACACCCGAAATTCGGAAAGAAGAGTGAACGTACGAAACCACGACTTCCTCAGCTGTGTTGACCAGGAAGAAGTGAAATAGTAGGTCTATGGAGCTCGGTATGAATATGAACCGGTGTTAAGTGTGAAAAAAGGGTAACCAGGCGGGATCTCAACGAACAAAAATGTTTCAGAGCACCTTGAAAAGACAGGGACGGTCAGATAAGGAAACATGCGTTGGGCACACTGAAAACAAAATCGTGCCGCCAAAGATGGCAGGTGACAGAGAAATAGTAAGCGCGGAGTCATACGTAAGTTCTACCGAGGCAAACCTTCCTAAACCACAGGATAAAGTGGGCGGGATATCCGTTATGAAGCCTCTGCACGTAATAGTAGACCACAAGGCCCTCGAGTTGATCGCCTCAAAGGCATGCCTGAGTCTGTCTCTGACACTCTAAAGGACAAAATACATCACAACATAGAAATATTCCATCAATATCTCAAATCCCTCTAGAAAGGGGACGAGAAAGTCACCGTATTCAAAGTTTTCAGTATGGGCTGAATAAAAGACTAAAACGATGAGTCAGGCCGGCCGAGGCCGCTAAAAACCGTCTTCCAGAATTAGAAACAGGGCCAGCTACTGTTGAGCAGGAAATTCGTATCCCGAAATACCCATCCGACAATTTTTTCGGAGCGATTTGCCACCCATGGAGAGAGAGAAATGGAGAGGGCTCACAGCGGAAGTCCTCAGGAGGTCAAGCCTGGGTGATAAAAATCTCAAAACACTAAAAGGGAAAAATATGCATGTTCAGACGCCATTCCACAGGAGAAAGCTTATACTCCTAACAGCTTAGTCGAGATGGGCAGCAGTCCATCTCGATCAGCTCAGACCGTCTTTTGCATCCAATCCCATATAGTAGACAGACGCCCATATACCGGAATTACTCAGGCGAAGTTGACATTTTTGTATTCTAATTCTCAAAGTCTCAACGAACTCAAAGCGCTAGTGTCGGAACGAAACCTCGACGTCATTGCCATAACGGAAACATCGCTCAAAGCCGAAATCGTGGATGCTGTGATTTCGATACAGGGCTATCAGCTATTTCGCAGAGACCGACAAAATAGACAGGACGGTGGGGTGGTCGTATGTGTAAGGACAGGAATTTCAATGGTTGAACTAGCCCACACCCACTCTTTTCATTGTGCATCCGTCTGAATAAAGTTAAAAATAAATATAAAGATAAGGACAAATAAAAATAAAAAAATAATCAGAGCAGCTGCGTATAATTCAGAGTATGGAGTTTAAGATCACTTAGACGTATCTCATATGGCTGTGCACTTTTACCTCTCACTAATTTCGTGGTTCGCCTCTGCATTCGTTAGAGTAGACTTTAATTCAACTGCATCCAGGATCTTCAGGCCTAGCTCGAATATTCAAGACTCGGCCTTACAAACGTACCGAAAACTTTTGAGGAGCATTATCCATCGAAAGTAGTGAACACCCGCTTAATGGTGTACACTATTGGATTTGCTCTTTAGCCGCTTTACAACATTGCGTAGACGGCTCTAGGGTGTCTGCAATCCAAACTCCGAGATCTTTCTCTGTTTCTGCTTTTTGGAGTGGCATTCCATTCTGAGAATAGGGCGGCGCATTCGGGACCTGATTTCGACTTCCGAGACGCGGCATGGGCATTTATTTGGGTTGATGGACAGGGGCCTTCTGCAGGACCACTCGTCAGTCTACGAAGATTTCCTTGGAAGTTGGTCTTGTCGGCAGCATCGCTGACAACTTTCCAGAATTTTGTATCGTCCGCAAAAGAGGCCCACACACAGTCCAACTCCCCTACACAATCATTAATGAGCAAGACAAA